GGTCATCGATGGTGGGTTGTTGTGCTATTTCAAGGGTGTTGAGGATGTGCCTCGCATCGTTGTTCCTCGTGATGAGGACTTGAAGTATCGTATCTATTTTGAGGCACATGACACTACTTTGAGCAATCATCTTGGTCGTGAGAATACGTATAAATCAGTGAGCCAGACGTATCGGTGGTCCAAGTTGTATAAATGGGTAAGTACATATGTGCGTACATGTGTGAAACGTGTCAACGTGTAAAATATCCGCTCACACGGCTACGTCCTTGGCGAGTTTAATTGTTTCCACTGGATGGTGCGATTCCATTGGTAAAGACTTTGTGTTTGGCCTACCGAATGATTCGGACGGCAACACTGGTGTTGTGGTCTTTGTTGACCGTTTGAGCAAGATGGCTCATTTAGCGGCCGTGCCGGATTCCATTGATGGCGAAGGTACAGCAAAGCTGTTTACCTATCGTGTGTTTCGTCAATACGGGTTGCCTGTGACGATTGTCTCGGATTGTGATCCACGTTTCACTGGCAAGTTTTGGACTTCCATTTTTAACGTGCTGAGCACCAGGTTAGACATGTCCACAGCGGATCATCCGCAGACCGAAGGTCAAACTGAGCGTGTCAACCGTGTCATTAGTGACATTTTGCGCAGCGTTCGTGATGACACGCCTAGGCGTTGGAGCCCCATGCTCCCTGTAGTCGAGTTTGCGTTAGATAACGCAGTTCGTGCCTCTACTGGCTTTACTCCTTTCTACGTGAATGGTACCACCCACCAACGCGTTCCGTTAACGCTTCCTCTACGACGTTCTGGGCTTATGGGGGAGGAATAGCCGATCGGATTGCTGATGTCAGCCCAATTACTGTTCGGAAACAGGTGAGTGAGTTTCTCGCTACGCGATTGAATGTCTTACTTCATGTACCTGATGCAATGGATGATAGACACTAAATATAAAAGTAACAAGCTGATGCCAAAGGCAGAAAGTGTATTAAAAGTTATGAAGCTGGAGACCCAGTCTTAGCGCTAAGTATTTATTTACCGAGGTGGTGTCTGCGATTTGCAGGACCAAGTTGCGTCCTCGCTTCATCGGGCGTTTACGGTTGTAGCCAAGAAAGGCCTATCGTACACGCTCAACCTTCCACGCAAGATGCGAAACACACCCAGTGTTCTACGTAGGCTCGCTTAAGCCTTACCTTGATCCGTCGCTGGTGGATCACGGGGCGCTGCTGTCGAAAGAGTTGGCGGTGCCGCAAACCGAGTAACCCTTAAGAGAAGATCCAGTCCCGTCGCGTCAAAGCGTCAAGCGCGCCGCTCCTTCAAGACGCATCACTCGGTCACGCAGACCGTGCACCTCGTGCACTAACGTGTCAACGAATCGTCGAGATATACCGACCACCGCCTTTTCTCGTTGACAAACAGGGGGGTCACATTATTATTTAGAGCGACGTCGTCGCAACGGTCAGTACCAGTACTAAGTACGGGGGCGGGGGTACCCGGAGTCGGAGAACTAATCGGAGTACGAAGTACCACTGCGGAAGGATTGTCCGTACGCCACTGAAGCTTTTGAACGTCGTCTTTAGGTTCAGTCGACACTTACCGCATATAACCATTCGATGCTGGAGTGAAGTGCAGCTGCAGCAGGCGTTATGATGTACGGGTCCGATTCTGCCGCAGCATAGCGAGTGCGATGAAATTATTGCAGTTGGCCTTTGGCTTTTTGCTCTGCAAAATCAAAGCGCATCTTTCGTTAGAGCCGAATGTCGACAAGTGAAGCGCTCTCTTAAATATTCGACAGGATTGGCAGGCGGCGAGCTCCGTGATCCCACCGCGCAAAGACGAATTTATTTCCGCCTCTGTCTTACCAGGGAATAAGACGACAGGTACTGTCAGCATGGCGGACACTGAGGCATCTTGTACTGGCTAATTCATCCTGTCAACGTACTCTTGGGAGGTCATACGCTCAACCCCTAAGTATCTCGCTCTGAGAGCCCCCCCCCCGCTAGTGCTGTGGCTGTGACAGCCTTGGGTCCCGTGATCCATGTTGCAAGTGACTACCCGTAAATCTGGCTAATGCGTTCATCCACACTCGGTGGCGTGAAGCGGTAACTACTGTGATCATGCGCTGTGGCTACACATTGTGCTTAAAGCCTGCGGTCATCGACCGACTGAAGACATTGAGCGTGATCTTAATGAAGTGTGTTGTGCAACAAACCTAACGCAGGGTAAACGGCTGCACGCTGAGCAAGGGGTGAAGGTACCTCCTCGCGTTCCACGAATGAATTAGGCGCGATGCGCGGTATAACGCTCCGGTGGCGTAGCTAGAGGGTGGTCGTAGATACTCGACGCGGCGGTGTTACTTCAAAGTCCACCACACCATCTTCGGGGATTTATTTTAGAATGTTGGACGAAGGCTTTGACTCAGTCATTTTGAATGTGTTGTGAGAACGACGGTCAAGGAACAGAGCTTTGATAGACCTCAAAGTGCCATAGAGAATTGTCGACACAAGGGCGTCGATCGTTTGGTGGGGGGTGTAACGGGGTTACATGCGGTTACTGAACCGGTTATGTTGTGTGTCCACACAGAGTAAACATAGAGGAAACCGAGTGGTACATTCTTGGTACCACGTATTTACGGTAATACCGCACCTTATCGGGTAAGGAGAAGGGATCAGACTTCCATCATAGGATCGCAATGTAGAATTCAGTCAGACAAGGTTTCAAGGTTTCAGTTCCGTAGTTAATAAATAAAGTTCAGTTCCCCTTTTGAAGTGTTGGACGCTAGTGCCTAGTCAAGGCGCAGTGTGCTGTAAGAGTGTCGACCTCGTGAATGCATTTCCTCTTGTTAAATAGTAGTAACTAGTTAGTGTTTGATTATGTAAATCTTAATCCCTTTGGAACCGGGTTTTATAAGCTTGTACGCTTAGACAACTGAACGTCATTATTACTTGTAATGACTGCAACGGGGCACCCTTTGTTTGGGGTGCCGTGAAACTTTACGTACACTAGTACGTGCAGAGGAAGTTCTGTTGTAAGTGCATGATGCACTGGATTCGACTCCAGAGATTCGACCCATGATAGGGTATGTCTAGAATGTTCTTTAGGGTTCTATGCATTATTATAGGTCGTACGGCAGCTAGACGTATGGATAGTTCTCACTTGTAGATTGACAAACCACTGATGAGGCCCCCGGCGGGGGGCCGAAACGCGTCTGGTGCGCGGTAATATACAAGTCATTTACTTTACTTAACTCCTACTTCTTACAAGTTCATCTACTCAAACAGCTAGGTTGAGTAAAGGTAAAAAGAGAACTGTATTTAATATAGTTAAGGTATCAATATAACTTCATCTCTTATCCGACTATATGAATTACATTGTCGTGTGACGACAACCTGCTCACCACTCATTACGCGCGTCTAGCGGCGATTGATGGTAATTCTGGTTGATACGTCTTTTATCAACCAATCTTTGAGCAGCACGTGAATATTATCCTACAATGGGAATATTATTCCTTCAGTATTATCCATCTCGGATAATATTGGCAGGGAAATGTCACGCTGGACAATCTCTCTATTGACACCGTTTGGTGTCAATATCATGTAATGGACTACCCGTTACACAAGGAGTTCCTTTAACTGGAATCTTACCCTCGACAGGGGCCCTTACATGGAGGGACGACTGCATGAACATTTCGAGCGCAGCTTGATTTTTATGGAGAATATTGACGGACAATTTACCAGGCACTGTGGGCGATTGACATGTGTGCGTATCAGTCAACAGTCACAAGACATGGTAATTGGGAGTGCTTCACTTGTAATTACACTGATCAGCAGGTGATTAAGTGGTTCGATGGAATTACGCCGAGCAGCTTGACAATAACGCGCTTCATCCGGAAGCCTTTGATTTGTTCCGTTCCGATCGTATCTTCCTCTGGACAGATAGACAGTTCTCTTAGTAACCTCAAGCTAGCATAATATAATGAACGCTAACGTGTCGATTGACTCTAGAATCGATTGAACGATTCATCATTATAGTCTCAATTCGCAACGACGTTTGAGTGACGTTAGATGCGTAGAGCTTACACGTGGGGGCAATACCTACAGAGTGATTCTGTGAACGGGAAGCCCAGACAAGCAGCACCTTATCTGGCCGACTTTGGGCGGATTCCGCACGTAGAACGACCAAGTTCGACTAGTCATGGATTGAGAAAAGCCCAACCGGCTGGCTTCGTGGCTAGCAGTCAGTCACCGCCCCGGCGGCAGTAGATAGCAAAGAGCGCCGTCAAAATAAGCACGCCAATCGACCATATGAGCAGCGTATGTCCGCGGGTTGACCCACGCTAAGCTGAAATGTGCTTTGGTAGAAGCGTGCAAGCACTTCTTGGACCATCATTGTAGCCATGCCCATTGCAATCGATCGATCAAAGTAAAAGTGGCCGGACGTATTTCCTTATGGTGCGATTGTGATTACGCTCGTCGTCATTAGTCGCAAGGCGGCAGCGCAGAGAAACGATTGACTCACGTACGACGTCACAACAACTTGGCGCAGCAGCAAGCGGTAACGTGATCAGCAGCGAGTTGTATGCCACGACGTTCTACACTGATGCAATTTCGGGTCGATGAAGCCCCATTAGTACAAGCAACCCGCCTTTGGGCCACATGCGACCACACGACTCGTGATACGAGGGTCCTCGACCTCCAATATCGATCTGTCTATCTCTATCGATCTATCTACCTCTATCGATCTACCTCTCGGTCGGTCGTGCCACGCTGCAATGAAATGGGCAGCGATTGGACGACGTAGTTACTAAGGGTCGGAACGTGCGCTGATGTGCTCGCTTTACTTTAATCAAGTGAACAGGCGACACTGACGAGACCCCCACTGACTTGACGTCCCTCACTCGCCGCCATTATCCCTTTCGTAGCGCGGCAGAAACCCCGCGACCGGCCCGTTCCGGTATCCCGCTCCCTCTCTGATAACGCGCTCCGTGGTCTACTACCCGCTCTGCTATACCATGGACCGCTTCCGACTAGACGGCGTGGACCACGACGGCGTGGACACGGTCGAGCCCATGCGTCCGAGCTCCTTCGACATGACGTTCTCACTGGGCAGTTACCCACGTGCCACCCAAGGGATAAGCAGAGAGAGCGAGTCACAGGCTGCGAACCCCAAGACTCTGGAATCAAACGTCGGTGTGACGAACGACAGTAACAAGAGGCAGGACAGGGGGCAGAAGGGGAGACTGCACGTGGACGAGCTCATGGACAGCTCGCGCTCTCAAAAGCTGGACCCGAGCAGTGTCGACTCGTCTGTGGACCCCCTGATGCCCACTACAGCAGGTGCTTCGTCGCCCCCTGTTTCGTCGTCGTCGGCGGCTTCGGCGGCACATAAAGACGTGGCTACTATCGCCTTGAGGCTCGAGGAGAAGGCCCACGAGGCCATTGACGCCGCCAACTTGTGTGGCAGACTGTCGTGGAAACTGGCCAAACGCACGCAAGACGTGCACGTGTATCGACCAGCGACCCTTCCATCCGAAGAGGACGCGTCGACGAAACTCTATTTCCGCGTGTCGTGCGAAGTCAAGGCGCATCTTGGCACAATCATGGAGTACTTGACGCCGAGCAACTCGAGGAACTACTTTGACATTGAGTCGCAGGTGTTTCCAGGACTGCTGCACGCTGCAGTTATCAAGCGTATGGAGCTCCCAGAACGTGCGGCGTCGTCCGGGGTCAACTCGGGACAGACGCTGCAGTTTCCGACCGGTGCCTCGGCCACGACAACTGCAAGTGACAGTCATGATGACGCGTCCAGTGTGGGAGAAGACGCGAGTGAAGCGTTTCCACATTTACAAGTCAAGTGGCATGCGAGTCGTTTTGCTGGGCGGTTTGTGAAGCCCGTGGACTTCTTTTTTGTCGAGTATGCAAACATCGAGACGATGGCCGACGGTAAGAAGCGTGGATACGGCTACATTCGATCGGTCGAGTCTTTCAAAGGTGACGAGCTGGCCATTCGACTTGCAGGAGAAGACGTGGTCATTCCTTCGAGTGTTGCCAAGTGCAAGCGTGCTGTGATTAATAAAGGCGTCTACCTCGTATCGCCCTCGGATGATGCTTCAGGCACGTACAAAGTGACATGCATGATGGTGATTGATTTTCAGAAGCAGTTTGCGACTTCTGTGGGGGCGAAAATTATCCAGAATTTCACTGATCGGCTCATTGGCATTCGCGAGCTACTTTTCAACACGCTCTTTCGGCCCATTGCCGTGCTGTCAAAGAATGAGTGGAAACCTGCACGCAGCAACAAGTGTGCGATTTGCATTTGCTCGTTCTCGATCGTAAAGTCCAAGCACCACTGTCGATCCTGCGGTGAAGCTGTTTGTGGTCAATGTAGCCGAAAATGGACACTACACCCCGGTGCCCAGCCGGAGGCCCACGCCCGACTGTGCACGAGTTGTTCGTTGCAGGCAAGGAGCTATCTCACGCCGAACGGTGAACCCAGCCGCTCACCAGCAGGGGCTTCTTCTCGTTTTTCGTCGGTATTAAGCAATATCCAGCCTGCTGGAAATCGCTCGAACGTTTCCTGGAAGGCTAATGATCACAAATGTGACGTACAAGTGGCAAGCACTGTCTCAACTGATCCGGATGTTTTTGCTGCCGCCACATCAGCTTTTGCAAAACTCGTGACTGCTTTGGGTGATCAGAATCCTCATTTCATGTTGGTGTCGTACTCGCATCACCATAATGGTGCTACAGTGTACGAAGCACTTGCACGTGTCGCTCCAGATACCCTTTTCATGGGTGGTACATCCAGTGGTGGTGTGTACGTAGGCGCTTCCTCGCCAGCGATGGGTTTGGGCCAGGGCAGCAACACAAATAGCAACTCGCGGCATCGACAGCACATACGCTCGGCAACTCATGAAACCGTGGGTTTATGGGGTATTTACGATCCGGAAGGGTCCTATGCGATCTTAAATGCGGATTTGGACCGTGAGAGTCCACGTGATGCTGCACGGAGATGCTTGTTGGATGGCATGAGGATGCTCGCAATGGAACCGGAGGAGAGCCCGGACTTTGTATGGACTGTACTGGGATGCGAAGATAGCTCTTATAACGTTAACGACCAACGGGATGGCGAGGAAGAGCAGATTACACGGGCTGTGAATGAAATCGTGGACTGTTCCTACTCGGTAGTGGGTGGTAGCTCGTCCCGATATGCTGCGAATGGCAGTCTATCTACTACTCAGGTGTGCTCGGAAGGGGGCAGTACAGGGTGCGTGACGAAGCACGGCGTGTGTTTTGCGATTTGCTGCCCTAGTGTCGAAGTTGCGCACGCGTTATTCACGTGCTACGATGCGACAGAGAAGACGTTTGTCGTGACGAAAGCGAGTGGCCGTGAACTGTTCGCACTCGACCACAAACCCGCTCTGGAAGCCATTAACGAGGCAACACACGGCATGTTGACGGAAATGACGCAGCGACCAGAAAAGTTTAATCTGGAATCGAGTTTGCTACCAGCTTACTACCCGGTCGCGCGTGAGCGACGTGGTGCAGTACCTCGTGGCTTCAAAAGGAGCAGTTCACGCTACCAAATTTTGCAACCAGAGACGTCTGCGCGGGATCTGTCGCTACACATGGGCGCCGAGGTGTGCGTTGGTGAGCGACTACATATGATGTCTCTCTCGCCACAAGGCATGGCTTCTAAGGCTCGCCGTGGACTACGTGACGCTGTTCGGATATCGATCCCGACGATGGATCTCGACGATGTCATAGGATGTTTTCTGAGCGTCGGTATCAGCTATGATCGTGTGATGCAGGGTGATCTGAAAGCGGTGGCTGACGCATCGGGAAGTGCTTTCCCCCACGGAGCATCGCTCTTGTCAGTCTCTCATGGACAGCAGGGCGTCATGGCCGGTGGCAACGAGGCTGTTCATGCTAACAGCATGATGACAGCTCTGATCGTCACCAACCGCAAGAAGTCACAGAAGCTTCGACCGCTTACTCTTCGAAGGAGAGTTTCTTGAGCTGCCACGTCCCTTCAGAAGTCCACTCGAAATCCCTATTTTACCACTAACCAATCGGTGAGAATTGTGCTATCAAACTAATCAACGCATTTGAGAGCAACGATCCCTGTCCGACAGCAACTACCAGACGCATTTTACCATCTTCCAAGTCAGAATGATCTTGAGCTGATAGAGTTCCTTACAAGTCGGCAATGTCACCTTCATAGCGCGCGACCGAGCGGTCGAGCCAAGTCAGAATGATCTTGAGCTGATAGAGTTCCTTACAAGTCGGCAATGTCACCTTCATAGCGCGCGACCGAGCGGTCGGAATAGCGCGGCTCCGCACGAACAATGAAGGCGCCGCGGTGGTCCGGGTTGGTGATGAACACACATCCGGGAACACCCATAGCAGCAGCAGCCTCCCTCATGGCATTGGCGACCTTGTTCTCCTGGCGCTCAGCCAGTTGCTGCGTGAAAATATCCCCCGCACGACCGCTGGTTATAGCCAGGACGGTAGGTCCGGCACCACTGAGGAAGCAGCCGTGCGCACCAGCTCCAAGAGCGGCATTAATGAGTGGTTCGAGATGCGGATACTGCGCGGCACCACGCTGTGGCTGATGGAGCATGTCTTGCGTGGCGAACCGAAGCTCATCGAGGTTGCCCGATCGGAATGCGTTCACGAAAATGGCCGTGCGACCAATGTTGAACACGGCATCCTGGCGGGACACGTTAGGCGGCAGTATAGCACGGGCCACGCTTGTGGGACCCGTCGAGTCGGGGATAAACACGACACACTGCAGACCGTCCGGGATCTGCACACGCGACGAGTACCAGCGGTTGTCAGCAAAGATACCGAGCTGCAGACCGCCATAGATAGCAGGAGCGACGTTGTCCGGGTGTCCCTCGATCTCGGACGCCTAGAGCAACGACAATATACACAACAACAACAACAACAACAGCAAACAAGCACCCGATCCACGTGTCATTATTCTCCCCCACATCAACACTGACGCCACGCCACCTCGCATCTCCTCACAAGTTGCAGCAGCTCCTCCTTTCCTTGCACTGGCAAGCGCATGCCACTTAAAGCAAGGCCAGCAATGATCCCGCCCACGATGCCAGCCGAGCTGCTGCCCAGTCCCCGAGCAAAAGGGATGCGGTTCTTGCAGTGCACCTTGACATGGCGCGGCATCTCTCCCCCTGCAGCTGCGAACGCAGCTTTCAGCCCCACAACAACGAGATTCGTATCGTCCTTTGGCAACTCGGCGGCGCCTTCGCCCTCGTTCGTGAGCGTCACGCGGCGCACGTTCAACGCGTCGCCCTCGAGAGGCGCCACGATTTCCACTGCGATCTCCGTCCAGATATCCAGCGCCATCCCGATCGTGTCAAAGCCGGGGCCCATGTTTGCGGTAGTAGCCGGGACGCGCACGACCACCGAAGTGAGTTTGTGGGCCGCCACGTCCGTGGGCAGCACTGTCGCCATGGCCTCGGCCACTGCCTTGGCACGGCGTTGAGCGGAAGCGCGTTTTGCACTCTTGGCGCGGGCGCCCACGTAGTAGGCCAGAGCGGCTCCGGCCGCTGCGACCGCGACTTGCGTAGCCACGCGCGGCGTCGTCGCGGCTGGAGTGGTCATGATGAAAAGTGACGCAGAGTGATGGTCATCTGTTCGTTGGGTCGATGGACGGTAGCGGTAGCGCGTGCGATCGGTTTCTTACGGAGAGATTACCGGTATACGGATTGTATTAGATTAGAGAGCCCCCTTGTTTTGCCACAACATCCCATCCTCCAAGCCTCGAGTGCCTGGAAAAAGATCGATACTTTACTGCACTGAAAGGTCGATAGGTCGATCGTCCTCGCCAGTAAAACAAAAACCTCTCGACAAGCGGTCGCGAGGTCGCTTTCTATCAACGAGTGGCCACTTCATTGGCCATTGATTACGCAATAGAGCCACCTAGACTCGCCGCAGCTCGCATTAGCAACCGGTAGTACCAGGTTAACGCGGAGCCGATGGATAGCAGCGGCAGTGACGATGATCTAGTGCCCATTTCGATGCTGCGTAGGAAGAGTAAACCGGCCACAGCCAATGGCTCGTCACCCTTGACTAGACGCGCAGTTTTGAAGCAAGAGACGCCGTTGGGGGAGGACGAGGACTCGGATTGTGTACCGTTGGTGCAATTATCGAAGACGAAGAAGAAGATGGCAGATCGTACCAAGGGGATCAAGCGCAATGGCGTGAAAGCTGGTACGAAGAAAGTGGGAGTCAAGCAGGAGACGGGCGTGAAGCGCAAGGCTTCGTCCTCGTTCTCCACCTCTTCTTCTTCTTCTTCTTCTGTGAAGAGACGGAGAACAGCGTCTAATGGGACGGTCAAGGTCAAGAGTGAGAAGGGGACGAACGTTCGCAAACTCAAGGTGCATTCCAAAAGTGAGCGGCTGGATATGGCTATTAAGGCCTTTCGCTGGTGGAACGCTGAGGAGCTGCCTGAGGGCATCCAGTGGCGCACGTTGGAGCACAACGGCGTCATGTTTCCACCGCCGTACAAACCTCACCATGTACCACTGGTATACAACGGAAAAGCAATCGAGCTGACGCCCAAACAGGAAGAGGTTGCTGGGTTTTATGCATCGATTCCCCATGATGGCCCACAATTGGGCAACCCGAAGACGGCAGCGATTTTTAACAAAAATTTCTTTACCGACTTCAAGAAGGTACTGGGCAAGCATCATGAGATCAAGACCTTTGAAGGATGCGACTTCTCTCGAATTGCTGCGTACCTGGCAAAGCAGCGTGAAGAGAAGAAAAATTTGACGAAAGAGGAAAAGCTGCCGGACAAGGAGAAACGTGAGATGGAGCTCTTTACCAATGGCTTTGCTTTTGTGGATGGCCATTTAGAAAAGGTAGGCAACTTTCGGATCGAGCCACCGGGTCTGTTCCGTGGACGTGGCGAGCACCCAAAGACTGGCACGCTGAAGGAGCGGGTGACGCCAGAAGAGGTGACCGTTAATGTGGGCATCTCGGATCGTGTCCCAATTTGTAACATGCCGGGTCACGCATGGAAACAAGTGATTCACCGTGATACCGTTTCATGGCTGGCCTACTGGAACGAGAATGTCATGGGCGGTATCAAGTATGTATTCTTTGCAGCTAGCTCGAGTTTCAAGGGCAAGTCGGACTTGGCCAAGTACGAGAAAGCTCGACGACTGAAGCAGTGTATCAACAAAATCCGACGAGACTATACGAAGGGGTTACGCGCCAAGGACATGTTTACCAAGCAGCGCTCTACTGCCATGTGGGTCATTGATGTTCTTGCGCTGCGTGTGGGAAACGAAAAGGGCGAGGATGAGGCTGATACGGTGGGGTGCTGTAGTTTGCGTGTCGAGCACATGTCCTTTGTCGATGAGAATTGTGCTCTCACGCTGTCTTTCCTCGGCAAAGATTCGATGCCGTACAACAATACTGTCGAACTCGCGCAATACGGCGACGTCGGCAAGCTGGTGTATCACAACTTAAAAAAGTTCTGCGCCAAGAAGGGTAAAAATGAAGAAGTCTTTCACGAGCTAACGGTCACCGAGCTGAACAAGCACCTGAGTTCACTAATGACTGGGCTCAGCGCGAAGGTCTTTCGTACATTCAATGCGTCGTTTACGCTGGAAAAAGAACTGCCTGGACCGTCAGGGCAGGAGCTGGATCCACAGGGCAAGATGGAAGTGGCGCCGAAGGTGGTACTGTACAACGATGCTAACCGGAAGGTCGCCATTCTGTGTAATCATCAGCGCACTGCTCCGAAGTCGTTCGACACAACGTTGGACAAGATGAACGCGCAGCTTGACCAGCTAAAAGATCAGTTGAAGGAGCTGAAGCAAATGCAATCGATGATCTCGAAGGGCAAATCCAACAGCATCAAGTTGAAGAAGGAGACTGCTTCGGACAATAAAGAGGAAGACGCTTTGGCAAAAAAGGCGCAGGTCCACCTGTTTCAGCGAGCACCCTCAGCTGACCAAGTCGCGAAGAAGATTGAAAGCTGGAAAAAGAAAGTAAAGGCGTTGTCTCTGCGTCTTCAGGATAAGACGGACAACAAAGAGGTGGCACTGGGCACGTCCAAGCTTAACTACATGGATCCGCGCATCACCGTCGCATGGTGCAAAAGGGTAAGCCTCTCGCATTCGTTGCCAGTTGTGTACATGTCGCTAACGTTTTTACCGTTCTATGCGTGGCAACAAACAGAACGAAGTCCCTATTTCAGCAGTATTCTCCAAGACGCTGCGGGAGAAGTTCGTGTGGGCAATGGACGTGGACCCCGACTGGAAGTTTTGACCTCGTCAGCGGGGCCCGTAAATTAGGGGTCGACGCGTGATTCTTGCGTAAATCGTAAAGAAGACTGCTTCGACAAAGAGTCACTCTCTACTACGAATGGATGCCGTCTTCTTCTATCGTGGGGATCTCGAGCAGCAAGGTTGAGGCCAGCACTACTTGTCACCGCCTGCATCCTTGTGCTTCTGTTTCCACTCCTCGCAGCCCTTCTTGAGTTTCTCCATGAGCTCCGTATGCCCTCGTCGCTCAGCAAAGTTCCACGCTTTGTTACCTGTACGGTCTTCGAGACACGGGTTTGCACCCAAGCTTAGTAGTTTGCTAGCGGCATCGTCTCGACCGTGGTGTGCTGCTGCCATCAAAGCTGACGACCGATCAGACTCAATTCGCTGGAAATTCACGTCCATGCCGTTCTGAACCAAGCTGAAAACCGAGTAGAAATCTTCCTGACGGAACGCGTGATAGATGGCCGCATCCATCACAGAGCCAAGCACTTGGACATTGCGGTCCTTCACTGAGAGCGACTTAGCACCAACGTTGTTTCGTGCTGCTGCTTTTCTTTCGCCGTTTTCACGTGGCGACGGCACGAAAGGGGTGACGCTTATCGGCTCACACTTTTCTTTCTGGCCACATTTGGCACAGAACTCACAATGCGTGCATCGTTTTGACACCATGCGCTTGCATTTTCGACAAGGTGAGCGCTCCCCGTAGTGCATGCCGTGCCCATTTCCTCGAATCTTCTGTTCCAGAGAAGCACTTAATGCCACCTGGCTAACATTCGTGACCGAGCCCTCGTCCATTAGCATCGTTTCTTCATTATCGTCGTCCATATTTTCCGCAGTAACATCGACAGATCCAGCATCCTTCTGCAAAAATGACTTCGCTTGGTATTGCAGCACGGAAGCAGGCGCGGTCCTATGGCCGGTCGTGCTTGTACTGGACGAAGTTGTGGTAGACGTTGCACTCGAGCAATGGCCTGAGCTAGTTGAATTTTGCAGTACCGAAGAGCTAGTTGTTGCCAGTGGAGTAGACGTGGACGCAGACGCAAGAGAGCACTGTGGCAGCTTTTCACGAGTGAACTTGCTACTATTGCGAGAGCTGTTGTCGTCCGGTACAATGCCAGCGGGTTGCCGCACTTTCTTGCGTCCATCCTTGACAGTAGAGGGTACTCCACAGGAACTTTCAAAGTGGCGCCGATAAACATTCAATCGACTCGATTCGGCCGCATACGCTGCATGCAGCAATACCACAAAAGCAGACACGCCCTGTCAACTCCCGCAGCAGTAGAGAGCTTCAGCAACATCACATCATCATACCTGAACCAGCTTTATCGAGAAGCTCAATGACCTTGACGAATGTTCCAGTGAGGTACGAGTTCAGTGTCCTCTCCGCATCGGTTTGCACGTTCACGTCAAGAATCTACCAAGAAAAACAAAAAAACAAACGATACCACACTTTAATCGCAATCAACCCACTCGCCACTTCTTTCCTAAACTCTCACCCACCCGCAGCAGCGCCCGCACGTGGGAGAACATCTCAATCTGTTTCTTCTCCTCGGTCAGTCCATCCTCACATCGACTGACGCCATTTACGAGCCACGCATCCAGCACCTTCAGTCCTCCTTGCTCATAAAACCTAAAAAGACCATGCAAAAAGACCGTTTCTAACGCTTAGAAGTGGCAGTATATACAATTACAAAACGCACAAAGTCTCTCTTTTTCTAATTCGCTCTTTCTTACACTCGGGCGTCCGCGTCGCTGAGCTGCATCACGAGCAGCGCCAGAATCGCGCGGTGCGACAGCGTGTGGACCGAAGGCATGAGCTTGCACAGCACCTGCGTGCGCTCAGCTCCCACTACCTCTCCGCTCTCGTTCAGGATGAAGCCCAGCGCGCTTACGATGCTCATGGCGGCCGCGTCTTCCCAAATTCGCGTGCGCATGAGTGTGCACAGACCTACTGAGATCGATGACAGGCGAGTCAAGCAGCGGTCTCGTTTCTATGAGTAAATGTTTTTCTATGAGTACATCATTTTTCTACGTGAGCGCTTTATTTCTATCGGCATTTCGTTTCTATTTGCGTCCGAGGGGGGCATTTCTGCTTTTTTGTGGTGAGTCATGGACACGTCGGCTTTGCGGGATTTCGCCTTTAAGAAGCTGCAAGAGGCCAGAGAGCGAGGCACGGAGCTGGCGACGGTGACCGCTGCACGCGCGGCCTCGTCTATTTCTAGCTCCGTGCCGGTGTCTTCGCCGTTTGTCTTTCGCTCGCAGAGCTCGACAGCTCCGCAGGAGTCCCAGCGGCCAGTGTCGCTGGAGCAGAAGCTGGAGACGTTAAGTGCGCTAGCTGCTGTACATCGATCGTTCTGTATGTATCCAATGGCAAGTAGAAAGACCTAATTTGGCTGCTGCTGCTTCGACCAGAGACGTCCAATCACTCGCTACGTGCGACACTAACGGGGAGCTCCTCTGGCTCTGTAGACGAGAGCATCTACAAGCTGGACCTGATCAACGAGTCATTGGCGTTTACGATCGAAAACGTCCAGGGGGCCTCTCATGCAATCAAGCTGTTGCATCGCCAGATGAAGGACACTGCGGGTATGGAAAATGCGGAGCACAAGACTTTTTATCGACGCCGTCCGAACGTCGGATAAAGCTGGTGAGTGCAATTGTGCGTACACCACCGCTTTTATCTGATGGGGGGTCGTGTTGAGCCGAGATATGCACGTTTTGTGCAGCATAACGAACAGTTTTTCTGTGGTGTATGTGATACGATGTGAGGATATCGTGCAGCTTGACACACTCACACAGTTATGCTGGTTGAGAGGTTCTTCACCTATTAGAAACGGAATGTTATGATCGGACACATTACATACATGGACAGCGCAAAGATGCAGAAGTGAATTGGATTTAGTGTCCTCAGCTGGTGGTACGGCCAGCGCCGTCGTTCAGCAGACTTTTTGCGAGCCCGAAGAGTGAAGCCATTAGTGAGTGTGCGCAAGGTGGAATGCCGAACTTTAAATCGTACTTGTCTGTCGGTAAATAACGCGGCTAGGTGTACCTTACCCGTACCAAGTGCGATCTCGCGTGGCCCATCGTAGTAGGGTAGGAATATAGGCATATCCGAAGTCACTCTTGAGCCAGGTCACTATTGAGGCGCACGCTTGTGATGATGGCTTTAAATCGATCAAAGGTGAACATGATCACATGAGCACATGCTAGACGCTCGTAAGCAAAGGCTGATCGCGTTGACCGAGCATACTGTACGGGCTAACACGGACGTTAACAGCATCAGACTTATTCTTCAGTGTCTGCCGTTGTGTAGATTTTTGCAACTCGATTCAGTTCTCCGAACTGAGTTACTCATATCAAAGGGCGAGCTCCAGAGCTTGCTCCCCTATCTCCTGTTTGGCTATCTGCTGGCTTGAGGATTTAGTCATACAGTATCAGTCATTTGCGAGCATGTGCAGTTTGCGCGAAAGCCTGTCAGACCTACTCAAAGTTTTTCGAGCGACAATGCCTGCTGGGCGACCGTGCGACAACTCGACCAAATCTTCTAAGACCATCAGTCACTCAGCCAGAATAACGCGCGTGCTCTTTTGCCATCAATTGTACATCGCTTCGGTAGCAATAGACCTCGAAAAGCGGTGGAGGCAGCCTCGATAATGCAAGCAAAATCGAGCTTTTGACACCTCTCCCACTGCAAAATCGTGTGCATTTGCGCACTATAAGAGTGTTGCAGCAACTCGAGCAAACCCAAGCTTGTCATATGATCAGACCTTGGCTACAGGTTTGTTCGTAAATGGGAATGTGAGATTCTATCGGTACGAAGCTGAATGACACGGATCCATTTTCGTCGTAAATCCGCGGTGGGGGTGTAGATGGAAGCAATCTGACTGCTGACTTGTTCATACAACCACTGTCGATACCTGCAGCACTTCTTACGTTCATGGATAGTCGTTGTCGTAACCCAAAGACATGACAATCTCAGATCTTCAGCTTGTCTTTTCCACCTCGTAGAATTACCTCCGACGTTCAAGGCTTTTCCAGGGTCATAAAATTGTGGCCGAGTGCTCAGAAGATCGGGGCGGTCACAGCCTTAGGTGCTGCATTTTTGCGACCACACTTGTGCGATCCAATCTGCTCCGCTCGTACTGTCCGATTGGTGCATTTAAAGGTGCGTGAGTTGTATTTTGACCCTTACCTCATGTGGAAGAAGCGCTTGACACTTTCGAGCTTCTACTGTTAGTAGCGAAAGATCTGCTGCTCTTACGAAGTGCTGTCTGAGAATGAAGATGTGCGATAACGCGCAGCGTTGGACTTGTCAGCGTCTTGTTATCCAAATCGGCTGTCAAACCTCCCTGCAGGCGGGCAACAGACCCCGTGCTCGCTAAATAAACAACTCACGTCGAAACTGAAAACTTGTGTCCCCACTGTATGACCTACAACAGCTTAAGGGTGAAGTTGGCCAGGTCATCCTCCATGTACACATCTTCGTCTTCTTCCGTACTAGCGCTACTCTCTTGCGTTCCGTCTCTCGTACCAGTGCGAGGCTTGACGGTTGTCAGAAGAGTGAGATCTGCTGCAGAGGCTGTGCGGTCGTGAGGCACCTTCTGCACGCGTGAAGCTGCAGAAGAAGGGGCCGCTGCTGCTGACTTGGCTGGTAGCCGTGCGTGAGCGGACAACCGGGAAGACGAAGCCGCCAACCAGCTGGCGGATGACTGAGCAGACATGCTGGCTGCACGGTGGAAACTACCTGAGAGAGTCAACGTCTCGATATCCGACAACAAGACGATTCCTGGCGTGCTGCGCGGTCGTCGATTCGAGTCGGTTGACTCGGGTGAACAACTGGATGTTGTCGCGCGCAGGTCGAGTCGCGGTGTGTACAGCCGGACGTCTTCGTCCGATCCTTCATCGTCATCCAGTCCGCTCATGCTGCGTTGGCTTCCGAGACTACTGATGCTTCGCTGGCGTCTTGAGCCCGAGATCGACGCGCTGGAGCACAGCTCGAGATCCGGACACACTTTGTCTTTTTCCTCCTGCTCCAAATCGAACGCTTCGACTCCGCCTGAAGACGCCCGATAACCTTGTGATATCGACGAGGACATGGAAGCCATGGACGTTGAGAGGTGGCGGCCTCTGGCCACGGGGCCTCGACCTCGTGGCGCGTTGACGCCACTGTCCGGACCAAACTGGACACACAGCAAACACTCGCGCTTGTGGGTTCCCCATTGCTGCGATCGACTACCTCCAGCTACCACCGAGCTGCCAAATCTGCCACGTCCATGGTCGCCACTTGCGTCAGTAGCTGCTGAACTTGGCGTAGTCTTCAAGGAGCATTTCGAACACACGCCGGATCCACATGAACGACACGTGTGGTGCATGCGCAACAAAGAGAACTGCGCCGAGCACACGGTACAGCAGCGCGCCTCTTGTAGCCACGACGACGACGAGCGCACACCAACGTGTGCGGCGTGGTCCTTCCACTGATGCGTCAAAGCGCGACGAGCGCCTGCCATCATCTCCGTACAGAACTCACGGAACTCGTCTTGCCCCGGAACAGTCGCAGCCCCACACTCGGCCGTCGGTGGGATGAACACGGAACAGGTCAAGACCAAGGAGCACACGAGCGGATCTTGCGTCTCAATGACGTCGAACAGCCAGTCGCGGATGTAGAACCGCGTGGCTCCTCGGACTCGGACTTTCGCCAATGGCTCCGCCGACACTCTGGACGAGTTGCTCAGCGCCCGCTCCGACACGGAGCGGCGGTAGACGAATCCGTGGACCCTCGAGTGGCCGTCGCTGTTGGTTTCCGTGTAGCGAGTCGCGTATTCCGCGTAGCAGCAGTCGAGCACTGGCGCGCTGGACTTGAGAGAGAACTTGGTGGCCATGTACTTGCGACTCCAGCGCGGGAACGCCGTCGCGTCTCCTTCGGCCGTCAGCGACAACGTCGGGCAGGACGGGGCTGGCTGCTTGAGCCGTGCAGTAGAGAGCACGGCGGCGGCCTTGACGTCTCGGAGCGTATTAAGTGCGACCCAGTAGTTCTCCCGGGGCGTCTCGCTGGCCAGAAAGTCCAGCACGGCATCGACGCTGCCAGGAACGAACATCGTGCCTCGGAAGTCCAGCGCACTGGCCACGGGCGCGCCCCTGGTCGAGTCGCTGCTGGGTTCCCCGCATCGACTGGACGGAGACGCCAAGGACGAAAAGGAGGACAACAAGGACGAGAGTGATGGTCGGACGGGAGACGGGGCCGACGTCGCTGCAACCAGCGGCGTGATGCGTTTGTAGAGGTAGATGTTGTACACCTGCTCGAGCGCCACGTAGTGCACGCGCGGATCTTCGTGGCGCACGCGCGCCGCCATGGCGTCCGCGTGGTCGCGCACGTACGGGAACATGATGGAGTGCGGCGCGCCCTCGGCCTCCCAGAGCGTGGCGCCGGCCGGGGCGTCCAGCGCGCTCATCACGGGGCTCGTCACGCTGCTGCTCGTCGCGGCCGTCGAGCTGCTGTGCACGTGCTTGTCCACCCTGGGCTCCATCGCAGAGGCCCGAGAATGCGGGACTAGGCGCGTCTTCACACTGGCGTGCAATGGGGCGATGGCCCGGCGTTGACACAAGTGATGGCCCGGCGTTGTCGCAATCGTGGCCGGTCTGCTGGACATAGCAGGGCCAACTGCAATCGTCGTGTCGCATGGCACTGGGAGGCGCGGCAGGAGGTAGTTTACAAGAGCAAGAGTCCAGCCGATGGAGTCTAAAAATAGAGTGAAACGCCAGCAGCTTGCGCACGTCACACACGCACACACTCTCACCCACTCGCCCCAGACGGCAGCAAAGATATTAAGCGCTCGCGACTGGCGGCCAGCTTCGATCGGGCCAGAGAGCGTGCAGGAAGGTCGCACGGGGCAGTAGCCGTAATACATTGCACCCCGGTGAATCGACCACCCCTACCCTCGTTTCCCAACGCCTGGTCAAAGGGCAACACTGTCGTTCGGGTGCTGTTCTAGTTGTTTCGACTGGTTGGCTGGCTGACTGGCTGTCGGTCTGTCGGTCTGTGCGTGCGTGCGCGTTTCGACGGTCAGGTGACGCTCGTAACCGCCTCTTGGATCCAGTGTGTCGCACCTGCTGGTCAATCCGACCCTGCAATGTCCTAGCAGCTTGTTCGTGTCAGCAGCATAACCGACCGACCGACGACACTGTACCCCACTGTGTAGCCGCCAAAGTCGCCGCTGATTTCAAAGCTGTGGTCGTACAGCTCGGCCCCGTCTTTGCTTGATTTTCTGACAGTCGGGTGAAAAATGAGCCATTTCGTGCAATCGCGACCGCTCCGTGCGCGAGTGTTCTGCTCTTGTAGCTACGGAGCGATTACGACCGGAGCTACGGAGGACCCACAAGAAGCACGACGTGGCTGTGGCTATGTCTGTGTGTGTGTGAATCCTGTGGATGTTGAGGATAGAGAGAGGCAGCAAGAAAACACACACACACACACACGTAAAAGTCGTGTGGTTGTCCACTCCCGCTGGATGGGCAACTGGGTTAAGTCAGCGCATGTCGCTGGATGGGAAAACCGATTACGTCACGGACCTTGGTCCGCCCCTCGCCAACGTCGAGTCAGCCGTCAACCTCGGCGCGGTACGCGAGCTCCTTCGCGCCCGTTGTCTCGTCGCCTTGACTTGCTGTTACACCAGTGCGCTCGTCATCAACCAAAGCGGGTTCGTGGCTGTATCCGAAGAGCATGCGGGCCATCCGCGACGAGTCCGGCGTCACGTCCCGGAAGAGCACAGCCACGGCCACAGTGAGCAGCACGAGCTGGCCGAGCTTCACTGTCTTTGGCGGGATCGCAAGCGCTGCTGCAGCGCGAGCAGCAAGAGCGCCCGTCACGTACACTCCCATTGTCTTCATGATGCTGCCGCGCCGGTGCTTGTGCTCGAGGAGAAACGCCAGCGTGGTGAGTGCGCCGGCCATTCGGACAGTCGCTCGGTGCCGGGCACTCCAGGAGAGGCACGAGACCCCGAGAGGTATTTGATACAGCATCGTGAGGCAGCAACAGGTGCGTAGATAACGCACCACAAGCGAGAAGAATGCTGGGGCGGGGTCCGTAGATCCAGCGCTTGTACTCGGGAGCGAGCACTGACACGGCATAAATAGGTACGTGAAGCCTCATGGCGAACTTCATGCCGTTGATGAAGAAGTCCCGGTGGAACTGCGCGCAGGTCTGTCCACGGTGGAAAACATCGCACCGCGACAGTAGCTTCCCTGCTGGTAGCTCGTCTCGCATACGGCGTAAAACACTTGGAGGAAGTTGGCAGAAGCTGTCGAGTGCTGCCAGTTGAGAGGGAGCGATGGCATCGCTCTGGTAGATCCACAAGTCAATCAACGGACCTGTGACCAACGCTCCCAGCGAAAGACCTAGTTGAACATGGAATGGAGGAGACCCACGACAATCAATTAGTCGGTGAGTGGACAGCTCTGACTTGTAATACGGATCTCCTAACCGATATGCTTGACGTCCGGAAGCTTTGTACACTCCTTTAGGGCGTTCAAAGCTGCCTGGACAACTGCGTACGAGACGATGATAGTCTTCTTCTCGGTGTCCAACAGGAGGGACGCCACGGCTGCAGCAAATGCCGCCGCTTGAGATGCAGTGAAGAGCCGCTGTCCCTTTCGAGTCGAGACTTTGCGGCCAATTCCTTCCAGAAGTCTGAAAACGCCGGTGAAAGCCCCAAGGGACAAGGCCAGAGAGCTTGGAGGCTTGACGCGTCGGGCCAGTAGACACTGCACTATAGTCAGTCCACCGCTGGCTGCGGCAGAGCCAATTGCAGCGTGCTGGACAATATCCATCGACGAGAGGTGTCTACGTCTCTTACCAAGCACTGGTCAAATCGTTGAATGCGATGATACTGCACGGACAACACAAACACCCGGTCGCATCGTGCTGGACAAGTACTCGAAACGCATGGCATTGTTCACTATACTACCACCTACAAATGCAAGTTATCACGGCAACGAGTGCACGTCTCTGGATCAGCGCAGCTGTACACATCCTGTACGAGGGATGCACGCTTCATTGACCTGGCAGCACATGGCACGACCGGCTACGTATTCGCATGCCCTCGCTCCCTCAGCTGTTTCCTCGCAAACTTGCGCAGTAGTCGCCCACTTTCCGGTCTGCACAAAGTACGTGACGTCGCGGTCCGGGTAAGCACGCGGGACTCCACTCAAGTGTACGTTCTTCCATGCTTCAGTCTCAACTTGCAAATCCGGTACTGGCTGATTGGCTTTGACAAGCGGGTCGACCACGTCGAACCATTGCTCAAAAGACCAGTCGGCATCAGCCCCAAATGGGACGCCGTTCAGCGTATACATGGGAGTTCCGGACACTCCCCTGGAGCACGTGTACTTCCACGACTCGCGGGCGTGGTCATCCACGTCGGTGCCTCCGTATCCGGTCATTTGTCGGTCCCACTGCTCATCAGTCAGCGACGGAAACGTCTTTTGAGCAAGGCTCTTGAGCTTCGCGGTTACTTGAACGGGGCTCAGATCCTTCGTCGCTTTATTCGAGAACCTGTCATGCAGTTGGTCCGCGTCAGCCTCAGTGTAGCCATCTTCGCAACTCGGACACATTGCTGCTAATATGACAAATGAGGGGTCGTCTTACATTTCTTGGTTGGCATAAACCGTCTCGAGCCAATCGATGAAACTTCGATGTCCCAGCGTCGAGGTGATTGTGAAGGCAGCTTCAGCCGTCATGAAGGCGTGCTGGTGGTACGGTAGTGGGAATAGCACGAGACGGATGCGCAGGTCCTTTGGCTCATACCGCTCGGCGAGCTTCTTTAACCCAGGGTAGGCCGACTTGCTGTCCGGACACAACTGTCCCACCAGTAGATTTCGTAAGATATCAACCATGAAATAACTTCGGAGCACGGCACGGTATCTTACCAGATCAATGTACGACTCGAGTTGAACGCCAGCATCAGCGCTGCCGCTGCCCAAGGTGAATCCGGGCGGACGTCTTGGGATTCGCTGAGCGCTAGTCAGACTACTGAGAGCTGCAGACACTAGCAACACGTGGACAATCAGCGTCAAAGGCGCCATCTCAGTGGGAAGCGCTTCGGATCTGCTTTTTATGAAAAGTGGAATGAAAAGAAGTCGTGATTCTGATTTTTCTTTTCAAGAAATATCCACCAATCCGAATCAAGTCAGTGGATCGACGGCGTCCGACCATTCTCCAGAAAAACGCCATTTTCGAAATGGCGGCCGCGCTGCTTTTTACCGCTGCTTTACTATTGCGTCTCTGCGTGTGCCGCGCCCAGGTGCCGGTGCCAGAGACGCCGCCAGGATTTGCGATTGGAAGAGGAAACGTCTCTGCTAACGTGCAGCTGGAGGCGTTCATCGACCTGCTGTGCCCCTTCAGTAAGGCCGCGTACAGCGGGGTGAAGGCTTTGGCGGCCCATTACGAGCCCAGCGACTTCCGTGTGAAGATGGTGCTGTTCCCGCTCCCCTTCCATCAGCACGGGTTTACTGCGGCTCAGTCTGCTTTTACCGTTACACTGGCACTTGGTGACGACCAGTTCACGCCGTGGCTTGAGGCGATGTACGAGACCCAAGAACGGTAACTGGATTGTGTGTTGCATTCTGATTGGACAAATACTTGAGAATCAGATCTGATACTTATTCTCATTACTTACCTTGATGACCTGCTGGTAGCTTTTGGAACGAGGCGACGAAGGACATGAGTGTGACGCAAGTGAAGAGCGAGCTGAAGGATTTGGCACAAAAGACGTTCCCAAGTCTGACTGACAAACAATGGGAGGAAGGGATGACGAATGACGGAGATGATGGAGCTGATCGCCATGCTCGTGTCATGTGGAAGTACGCGTGCACGCGTGCCGTCACGGGTACACCGCAATATATTTTGAACGGCGTACCGTTCAAAGGAGCCGACTCGTCGTGGAAGCTGGACGACTGGCTCAAGGTCATTGACCCCCTGGTCAAGGCTGACAAAGCCTTGGACGGGTAGCGCATCTGCTTGGAGTGGGACGGAACTACGAACAGGATTGCGCGATCCTACACACGATCTGAGTTAGTTATTGCTGCACGCAGTAAGTGGAGGCGATGAACGCGCTGTGCAGTGGCAGCACTGCAGGTCACTCTAAAACGTACGCGAAGCAACGTGTGAAAACAAACCTGATGATGTTCTTGCGGTGTCGGTTGTAATTGATTGCTGCAGCAACGACACATGCCATGTGAGAACGATCGGCTACTAAGTGTCATCTCGGATCGATTCTGAAGTAGTGCAAGGGGCTGAAGTCCAGCAATTCGTGAGTCAACTGGAATTCAACGAAGTGCTTCTGTCATTGTCCAGAGCTGCTAAACAGCTCAAAGTGTCCATAGCACCTGGTCGACAATCGCTCCAGACTAAGTTGTAACTCGGTCAAAGCCAAGAGAACAGATGGCTTTCAGATCGAAACTGCAGCTTCGCAGTTGACACGGAGACTGCAAGTGCATATCGCGATAAGGGCAAATGATAGCTCGCTATGTCCTAGCTCTCGTGCTGCGGTGACAATGACAACCGTTGCCTTTGACGCTGACATTGGACCCGAAAAGAGATTCTCACATCCTCTCTCAATGTAAAACGAGGCTACCTACTTTTTCATCAAAATCCAGGGACCCTTGAGGTTACGTGGGTAAATGTGCAAAGGCAGTGGCAGTGAGTGAAGTGCTTAGGTGAGGCATTGCGGCTGGCGTTTCTTGTGGAAGCGAGGGCGTGAGTCCGTGATCGAAGCATCCGGCTTTCGAAAAGCACTTTGTCATTGGAACAGACGACAGCGCGAAGGCCGAAGCTGGTAGTGATTGTTGGTGCCGACCGTTACTCCTTTTTGAAAGGTGTGATGAAAAATACGTCAAACCCGAGTCCAGCAAGAGCGTCAATGGCATTTTTGCTTCCTCGTTTCAATGAAAAGTGATAAAGCGCTGAGGATGATGGAAGGGGTAGCGTGGTCGTTTCCGAGGTAGCCAAAGAGTCTATTCGACCGGGAACCCAGGCACTCCGCCGTAACAGAAGAGGCTGTAAGGATGCGCTGACGTGAGGCGGGCTTGGAAATGATTGCGAATGCTCGAGTACGCGAAAGAAATGAAAGTGACTGCGGACACATTGAGGAGGCATCATGTTCATGTCAGTTAGGAATCATGATCCGATCACCAAGAACACACATGACATGCTCTTCAGTTTCCAGCTGGTTGTAAAAAGTACCATGGTGATGTCCTTGCACTCTCCAGCATGCTGACTAAATCGCACAGCATTCAAGCGGCTGTGAAATAAATACTAGCACTCTCACCGTTTTTGCGGTGATCTCTCGGGAGCTGAGTCCGTCGATCAGTCTTTCTAAATCGAAAGATGTATCACTTCGGGTGCTGGTACTCGATACCGAGGGCTCGGGTCTCATTGACTCACACCATTGAGATGCTCATGCTCGCTGATATCTTCCTTGTCAAAGCTTTCTTCCTGTTCTTCATCTCCAGGCTGATCAATGTGTTCACTATCACTCACTTGGCTAATAATTTCATGATCCGGATGCAAGTGTCTTCTGTAGCGGAGACAAGCGAGGGTGACACAAACAGTCAGGATGCTGCTTACCGATACGATCACCAATGCTACCACTAGCCACGTGATATCGATGTGCACTTGGCTGCTGTTTCCGCCGGACAAAAATGATGAGCTGTAACCGACATCTGTACTGGATGCATTCACGAGAGCATGGCAAGATGTATCTTCGAGGTCGGTCGCGTTCAATCGCGTGTTTGTGACTCTTTGCTCCTTGTCATTGAAGTCAAGCTCGTTAACAAAGCGACGTACCAAGTCTGCAGCCACATCGGGCACGTCCATCGGCACCATATGCCCCGCACCAGCGACCACCACGTATGTCAAATTACCACCCTGCTGTACAAATCCTGCAGGATCTTTGCGGCCTTGTACTTGCCACGTGAACTTGCCAGCCTGTTGATAAGCCTTTGATCCCTTCCAATTCAGACCCAGCAACAATTTTTCGATTCCATAGTAGTTGCACATCATGTCCCATTGACCGACGTAGAAAATCATACGCAACCCTCTTTCGAGCAATGCCTGAACTGCATTCAATGTGCTAACACCATCAAATTGTTTCAGTCCTCGATAGACACCGTCACTGCACATACTAAAGCGAAATCGCTTGTCCTTGTTGCCATGCACAGCTTCACGCACTTCCATTTTATTTACATAAGTAGCAATCGTTTTCATTCCCGACGGATACGCTGAAACAGTGCGTACATATTCCCGGACATCATAATAGTTCAAATTGTTCTCCTCGTTGCCTGCCTTGACACTGTCCGTGATCGCATTCATGTTGTCCAGACAGCTATCCGAATAAAACGTGCCGGCATCCAAAGCAGCCAAACACTCAGCATACGAAGCCTTCAGCGATCGTACCTGACCAAAAGATAGCAAACCAAGACCGTGGGCGTAGTCACTGTACTCGTACTGAACTCTCGGGTGCACCCATCCGTTGCCAATACCGACGCCGACAAGACGAATCTTGATCCGGTTGTTCACAAGATCATTCTGGTCCATAAGATGCTCCGAGAATTTGGGAATCCATCGTCCTGCATGGGATTCGCCGAACATGTACACATCCCGCGTGTGTTTCACACCATCGTCAGCATCCGAGAGGTACTCGGTATGCCGCTGCACGAATCTGACCAGAAAGTCGTAAAAGTCTGCAGAAATGTCCTCCTCACTTGATCGATAGTCGTTGCCGCTCGTGAACGACATGCCCGTTCCCACAGGTTGGTCCACAAAAAGCATGTTGGCAAACTGGTGCCAGCTGTGTGCATTCCTGCCAATCGTCGACTCGTTCACTAACACGAACGGCGAGTTGCCCAAAAACAGGCCTTGCATACTCGAGCACCCTGGCCCTCCATTTAACCTACCCAGAAATAGCCAAGACACAAACCCAAGGAGTTACACGCCATACAATAGGCCAATGTTGCGTCCTTTTTCCGCCGTACCAGATCACGAGCGGAGCCTTCTCGGCGTCCCGCGCCGCTTGGAAATGCCAGTAAAATAGAAAGTTCTTGGCACTGCCGTGTAGAGCGATCCGACCGGCGTGATGCGTCACGTCCATAGACGGGTCGAGTCCAGGCAGCTTTTTCACCAGGTCTCCTCCTTCTTCTTCCTTTTTTGGCTGCGTTTCCGTCGCTAGAAAGCGCTCCGTTTGCTGCACGTCCTCCGCCTCAACGTCCGTCTCTTCAACGTGTCTTCTACTCGGGTGTAAGCGCTGCGCTGACGTCAGAACCCCCGCCAGGGCGGCCACTAGAATATGCCGACAACACGCCATTTGACTTGACAACTGATCGATCGATCGGACAAATGACGAAACGTCAAACGGTGTTTTATCACGTCACTAGAAGCTGAGGGTTGTGACGTTTCAACGGATTGTAAAAGAGTCGTGCGTTTAAACCAAGTCGCACGTGGACAGGCTGAATGGTAGGTAAAATATAGACAGGACTGGTCATCTAACTATCCAGCAACATATCGTGACGAGACCGCGTTTTGTTTCATGATCTGTCCGGCTGCTGGAAGGAATGCTGCAAGCCCATTCTTTCCGTCCACGGCATTGGATACGATACCGTAGGCGTGCAATTGACATCGAGCTCTTCGACGCTAGACATCTAACATTGTAACGACCTGGATGTGCTGCTTCATCTTTTGCCGAGCTCAAGGGCAAGTGTGCGCTTGTGAATGGCTCTTTCTAAAAGGTGCGATGCACGAGACGATCCACGAAGCCAATCAAAAATCCAACACTTCATCAACCAAGGCATTTCTGTCCGCGAGAGTAAGCTGCAAACCTGACCACGCCGCGAGCTCGACCGACGTTCGAGCCACGAAGCACATAAGTACAAAGCGAGCAGAGTGTCGCGCATCTTGCCAGCCAAAGCAAAGACGCATGCTCGCTCACTTGCGTGTATGATGTCTACTCATAAATGTCATCGTTGTCGTCTCCTTGGCCTCCCGCACCACCGGCAGCGTCGCCGCTGAAACTGTCTCCGCTATCCATGAGGAAATTGGCTGCCAACGCCTCATTCTTGTCACATGCCAAATATGCCTGAATCGCGTCCGTGCGCTCGAACCCCATCTCGCACAACCGGTCGACGGCTGCCGCTTCCTCTTCAGATAGCATGATGCGGCGACCTCCTCCTCCGACGCTAGCTTCAGCACCGCCACCGAGAGCTTCCCGACTGCTGCCACCTCCCATTGACGCCATCATCTGCTCCATTGCTCCAGGCGGCAAGTTGCTGAGCATTTGAGATAACCCACGCAGCTGTTCGGGGGTCATGCCCATTTGTGCTGCCATCTGAGCTTGCTGCTCTGGTGAGAGCGAGTCCACCAGCTGCTGGATCTGCTGTGGGGACGGCATGGCACCATCCCCACCCATTCCCAGATCAAACGGTGCAACACCTGCACCACCTGGAGCTGCTCCCACCTCACGGGTTCCAATGGGTTCGTTCAACATCTGAACAAAGCGGTCCTGGTTCTGGTGGATCAGCTGCAGCAGCTCTGGGCTTTGTGCACCGATCTGCTGAAGTACCGCCGGTAACGCTGCCGGGTTAGACTGCACTAGTTGACGCAGCGCGTCGAACTGCGGGTGGTTGCGAAGTGCTTCGAGCGTGTTTGCAGTCTCGTCACCACTGGCATCAGCACCTGCATCGACTCCAGCCGAAGGCGCAGCTACCTGTGCAGCTTGCTCGGGGATGCCAGTCATCAGGTATTCCACTGCACGTTCCGGATTGTTGAAAGCCGCACGAAGTGCACTGCGCACCTGGTCGGCCGGGAAGCCCATGTCCACGAGCTGCTGCACCGTAGCGCTCATCTGCTCGCTGGCCGCCAGATCGCCACCGTCTTCCATCGAGGAAGTGGCAGCAGTTGTAGCTGGAGCAGCTGATGGTGTCGAAACTGCTGAAGCAGTTACTGAAGAGCTGTTGGACGCCGACGATGTGTTGGGAGTAGGAGCAGCAGCAGCAGCAGGGGCAGCAGGAGCTGGAGATGGGGCTGCAGCAGCCGAAGCAGAAGGAGCAGCAGTAGCAGCTGGAGGCTTCGCTGCCTTGGGTTTAGTGACCATCACGACCAAAAAGTCGTTCTCCTTGACGTTGTACACGCTCAGTGTACTGTCGTCCTTGAGGACTTTTCCGGCGTGGATGAGCTTCTGCTGCGACACGGGAAACTGCTGCAGCTCCTCGATCTTCTGCTTGATAGCGGACACCTGGAGCACGTTGCAAGTAGTCGGAGGTTAGGTCTCGCTCCAAGTGTGTTTGTTTTTATTAAAAAGTGCTTTCTCTTCGCGGCGGGATCTTTCCATCTCTTCGTTCCAGAGACGAACGAATACGAGACAAGTACGACGAGCAGCGCCAAGCGAGTCAAGAGAAAGGAGAGAAGCGTCTTACCGCGTCCGTGAGTTCGGCGTCCAGGGAGAAGGCCACGCCCTGTAGTGTCTTGACGGTGAGCTTCATCGTCGTCCTCCCGTTGCCCGCTGTTTCGTTCTTTCTTCCGCTTGCCAGTGAAACGAGGAAAAGATTTTCCTTTTTGCGGAGAAAAAGTGTTTTTTTAGTCCCATGGAACGCAGCGAGCAAGTGAAGTCAGGTCGGCGTCGCTGCATTTGTGGGGTCACCTGTATTTGTAGGTTCACCTATAGCCTCGAGTCTGCTGAGGTGGATGACTCCATCGTCCAACGAGATTCTACCGTCGAATTCAGTAACTGAAAAACTGCTGTAGCAAAAAAGTGGTTCCGTCTATTTTTTCTTCAAAATAGAACAGCAAGCTCCAGCACTTCCTTGTGCTAGATTTAGCAACCGATCAGAATCATAGATCGGAAACTGCGACAACACCTCGTTCTATGTTAACACTCCTGTGCGTTACACACGATCCTACAGCCTCACGCCACGCAATTCCCTCGTCCCTGACACGCTTACACAAAAAGGCCAGAGACGCGCGTCTATAGGTTGCCGCCAGCTGCAGTAGTACCACGACCTAGACGCTCTAATTTAATAGTTGAGACGCTAGCATAGCAAACACGGCACCGACCCCGGCCGCTGACCGATCGACAGCTCCATTCCACAAGTCGCAGGACTTCGGCCACTTGACGTAACCCTCCAGCTGGCTGCAATGTGGCGCACAATCGTGTCCTGTACCCGCTCCCCTCTCTGTCTCAATGTACGTGTCACTGGTCGCAATATAGAAATGCGGTCACCGGTTCAATCCCTCGTCCTGCTCACCCTAAAAGCTGTCGCGTGTCCCACAGGTTCGAGCTCCAACAGCTCGTGTGTCGCTTATACCCACGTGGCTGCAGCATGGAATCCAGACATACGGAACGCTGCGAGGGGACAACAAGACGTCCATCATGCTCCAGGTGGAGGACGGTCCGGGTGCTTTGCAGGAGACGCTCAAGTTCTTCTGGAAACACGACGTGAACATGACGCGGATCGAGTCACGGCCGGCCAAAGGCCATAATATGAACTACAGCTTCTATATTGACTTTGAGGGGAAACGGGGCCAGCCAGAAGTGGACGAGCTCATGAAGAACTTGTCGAGGAACTGTCTGGACGTGGTGGTGCTCCACGACAAAAAAGGTGAGAGACGAGGCTCTCCCGACCTTCTGATTCGTTTCCTGAGACGAACACTGATGGTGGACTATCTGGACAGTTCCGTGGTTTCCGCGTAAGATATCGGAACTTGACCGCTCGGTCGCCAACGTCCTGGATGCTGGCACGGATCTAGAGTCGGACCACCCGGGCTTTAGTGTACGTGATCGTGTACTGCGCTGCTTGCAAAATGATCGGTGCTTCATGATTTATCGATGAAAAGACTGACCTGGTGTTGGGTTACGCTGTGTAGGACCAGGAGTACCGTAGGCGTCGAAACATGTTTGCTGAGATCGCCCGCAATTACCGTCAAGGTGATGCCATCCCCTATCTGGACTACACAGAAGATGAGGTGCGACGTTTGCACAGGGGTTGTAAGTGCAAACTCGAATGATGTTTGGTGTTCGTGTGCTCGTTGGTCCAGGTGAAAACATGGGGAGTCATTTACAAGAAGATGAAAACGATGTGGAAGCAGTATGCGTGTGACGAGTTCAACTACATCACTCCTCTGCTCGAGAGCAACTGCGGCTACGCGGAGGACAACATCCCACAGCAGCGGGATATCTCGAACTTTCTCAAAGAGTGCACAGGGTTTACCCTGCGTCCAGTGGGCGGACTTCTGTCCTCGCGTAACTTTTTGAATGGACTCGCGTTCCGAGTGTTCTTCTCAACACAAGTAAGAACATCCGCCGCTCGCTTAAGCAGAGCTCCTAGCTGTGGTGTATCGGGTGGTTGCATGGTTCTTACAGTATTTTTGACCTGTGTTCGTGTAGTACATTCGCCACCATTCGATGCCTTTGTACACACCAGAGCCTGACATCTGCCATGAGCTCATGGGCCACGCGCCTATGTTTGCGGTACGTAGTCGTTTCACTACAAGAACGTGTTAGTTGCTTGTGGAGCCGTCTTCACCTAATGCGTTTTCTTGACAAAAGGACCCCGACTTTGCGGACTTTTCGCACGAAATTGGCCTTGCCTCTCTTGGAGCCTCAGACGAAGAGATCCAGCGTCTTGCCACTGTACGTAACGTGGATCTATTAACAAATTAACTGCGCAGGCACCAGATCGTTACAACGGTGTATCTGTGCGATCAGTGCTACTGGTTTTCCGTGGAGTTTGGCCTTACGAAGCAGCATGGCAAATACAAGGTTCGTGATTTACAAAGTCCCTGTTGCTGTCGCGCAAATTCTCGACCTTCTCATTGACGGCATGGCCTTTGCCCAGGCCTATGGAGCTGGACTGCTTTCAAGCTTCGGAGAGCTGGAGTACGCTTGTGCATGTGACCGCTCTGCAGATAGCGATGGACCGGAGCACCGCCCTTGGGATCCATTCCTGGCGTGTAAGCAGAAATACCCCATCACAACCTACCAGCCTGTGTACTACGTCGCTGACAGCTTGGTAAGGATGCACCGGGTTGTTGTGGATCATGGCATGATTTTGATATCCCTTGTAGTTTGATGCGAAGGAGAAGATGCGCACCTTTTGTGAAGACCTGAAGAAGCCATTCCAAGCTCGCTACAACCCGTACTCCCAGACCGTGATGATAGACCGTGCTGTTCAGCGCCAGGAGAGCTAGTGTGCCAGTATAAATCATGAAGACGCAAAGAAGGAGACGCGATGCGTGCCTTTTGTGAAGACCGAAAGAAGCCATTCCAAGCTCGCTACAACGCGTACTCCCAGAAGGTAGTGATGGAACATGCTGCTCAGCACCAGCAGAGCTATTGTGCTACCATTTCATAAAAAGATGGTGGTTCTTGTCATTGGAGACTTTACGATCTGGTTTCCTCGCAATTTGACCATGATATTTGCTACCAAATACGATACGAGCTTTCATTGATCATGAGATTTGTGCTTTGCCTGTACATTTTTGGAGTGTGTGTGGAGGACAAGTTGGTTTTCCGATAGTTTTGACAGTTGTGGCTTCGAGCAGAATGCTTGGGGATCATGTCATGAATAGGCCTGACTGGACACAAAGAATGAAATCCATTTATCTAACAAGCAGCGGACGCAGGTGACTGCTGCCCACGTTACAGAAGAGTTGATTGTCCAGCTTTTATCCTTAGAGTGAATCAAGCAGACTCTGGATCGATGACTTATGAGTTGATACCGCAGCAGTAAAGCAGCGCAACGTAAGGTGCACGGTGCGGTACGTGCCCATGATCGGAGCTAGATCCTTACAGCCGAATGGATGGATGGCTATATCGCAACTGCCGGACTCTAAAAACTCGACGCCGCATAATTGAGCTGTTGGTCGAGGTGTCATGAGCGACTTGGTCCAGCGCAAACTGCGCCAGTGCCCACCAAGACACCGTAAGTAGTAGTAGTAGTAGCCCGTAATCCCTACCAATGCTGCTAAGAATAAGCTATCGACGGCATGACGATGCATGTTTCGGTGAAATGTGCCTTTTATGGTGCTGCCGCCTTCTCAGTAGCTACTGGTGACTTCTTAGTGACCCAAAGATGCATTTCCGCATGCTCGTGACCATGCTGACCTCTGTACGAAAGGGTGTAGGAAGACTAAGAAGCTGAGTTACGGGACCACCTCGACCCTTTGACGTTCCAAGCTGCCGCTGCCAACATTCTACGTACAGCGGCTGACCTGACCTTGGTTTACAATCGCGGCTATACCTGGTAACTTCGTGCCACGTCGACTGTAGAATCAGGGGCAATACGCCTGATGAGCTGCTGAACACGGTCACGAAATAGTGAGCTGTGAGCCACGAAGGTGCTGTTAGTTCGGATGGATCCAACACGTTATACAAGGAGCCCCACCACTTGATCAGGAACATTTAACACCTAGAGGCAGCGTCATTATTAGAACTTCATACAGCAACCTTACGTTCGCCCGCTTTACTCGGTGAGTCCCTCTTCGTCTTGTGCCATCTGAAGTGCTGCATCAATGATTCCCTGAATGGAATCGTAGCCCCCAAGATCTTGCTGGCTTCCACCCTGTTCATGCTCGCCGTAGACTCGAGCCTGGTCCTGCTTCATCTCTTCAGTCATGAGATGAGCAGTATCATCGCCACTAGAGCTCGATGTAGAGCTGCTGTCGTCCACACAGCGTGTCTTGTAGAGGATATAAGCGGACAGCACTGCGCTGAAGAACGGCGTCGACAGCAGTTTATCCATCGGAAGGTTGTCACCCTTGTTATCAGCAAGCAGCGCACGAAATCGTAGATCTGCGGGCGCTAGGGTCTCGTATATGTTGCGCCAAGCCTCGTCACGCAGCATCTTTGGCGCGTAAATCGTTCGACGAGCCTTTTCGGGATCCTTCATCATTGCGGCGAATGCGAGTGGAAACGACCGCGGTGCGTTGATGAATATTCTGTGGTGCACGTTGAGTGAGTACACGTCCGTGTCCAGTACAGAAGTCGTTGACGACGCAGCAGCCTTGGACACATCCTGCAAAACTGGAGGCGGAAGGTCCGTGCACACATACCGTGCGACAATGTCATGAATACTGCGAGCCAGCACGGCCCGTGTCTCCTTCAGTCGCGCCAACTCACCGGCACCCATTACATAGAACTGAGGCTTCTTCCAGTGTTGCATCAGGGGCTGCACATCTGCTGCCACATTGTGTATAGTGGCTGCATCCACTACCAGCACTGCCACCAGTGTCAACAAAACCAGCCACCCCAGTAAGCTAGAAGGTACCGCATGGACGAGTACACCAAGCACCAAGCAGCCTAGAGACGCCTTCACCGCTGCTGCGACTAGAGGCAGAGATCGAACGTGGGACTTGCTTGGAGGAAAACCATAAATGAGATCACACACGCTCGCCAAGAGGAGACGACCTGGTAATTGAAAAACAAAGCGTAGCGCAGCAGCAAGAAGCCACACAAAATGTAGCGGATGCTTCGGCAAATTGTCCACGGCCAGCAGCACACTAGCGCAATTGATATCCTCATCGCGAAGCTGCCAGTGCTTAAGCGTCGCGCAATACGCCATCATGCTACGTTTCAGCTCATGCATTGCTGGATGAGTGGACGTACGAAAGTGGATCTGCATGATTTCCTCGTTCATCGAGGCGCGCTGTCGTCGAAAGAAACAATCGTCTCGTACAACCTTAGCACAGTGCACGTGCAGTGTGCGCGTCAACCGCAGCATCTCAATCTGTGCAACCGATGAAGGCGGCGGCATCGTCAATGACGCACGCAATCTGGCACTGAAATGCTGTGTGAATTCCGTGGGATCTTCTCCGAAAACTGCAACTTCGCGCTCGTCCAAGAGCACGGGCGCTCCATAACGAATCCCTGCGTATCGCCGCACATTTACCAAGCTAGCAGCCGAGCAGTAGTGCATGGCCACCGGCACAACAAGTGCACTGCCATGAGCAGCAGAGCGTAAAGCCGTAGCAACCTGGAACACGACGCGGTTAAGCGCTGCTTTGCCTGGATTCCCCGACGTCCGAGCAAAGTCCACCAGCACGCCCATCTTGTAGTCTCTCTCGTCCGTCGTGACGTCGTCGAGCGGCTGTTTCGTACGAAAGACAGCCCGCAGCTCCACGTTTTCACGTACAATTGACAGGATACGCGCCACGTCCGACGCGTCAGAAGCAGCAGCAGCAGCTGGGAGCTCGGCCACAAGAGGTGCGACATAGTCCTCTACGATCGCGCGCTCCACGATGGACGGCACGCGACGGCGCCAGGCAGAAGAGCGGGCAATGAGGTACACGACCGGCATGAGCTCGTGCTTGTTGCTCTCGCGACTAATGACCTTAAACTCCATGACGCGAGGGAACAGAGCGCGACTGAAAGCGGCGCATCGGCTGCGACTGCGGCGACGTGGCACTGCGCGCTTGGGCGGAGATGGCCACAAGGCCTCGAAGCTTGACATCCTCTTGAGGCTACGAAGTGTGGTGCTGCGGGAGAGTGGGTACAGGGGACACAAGAGAGAGACGTGAGGGAGGGGTCAGAGGTGTGCGACTTGTGCGAACAATTGCCAAGTGCGAGCTAAAGACAGTGGCACAACATGCTCCTTTTATTTTGTCAGCAGTCGTTTTGCTCGGTCAATCGGAGCTCGTGGTACGAAGTTGTTTACGTACGCCAAGAGGATGGGGGGACTGTGAAAAGATGCTACCTGTGAAAAGCGATTTGGTGAACTGGTAGTCTGGATGCAAAGTGGACTGCGAGTTGTTGTACCCTGTCAATAATGTTCGAGTACGGTGCTGTCGCAAGGGAGGTGCATAAACGAGTCTAGATTTGAAGTCGCGGCCGTGACGGTGCGTGCATCGACATGGCGGAAATCACGCAATTCGTAGAAAAAGACTGAGGTCGGGCGTTTGGTTTCGACTGAACATCGAAGCTTTTGTGACCACGTCGACACTTACGTACGTGTTGGCGAAACTCGTTGCAAAGGATGCTACTACGCCGACTTCTTGCGGTAGTCGACACCCGGTCTAATTTCAACACGCACGGTACTGTTTGTGACCATAATCCCACATCATACCTTGTCCCGTTACAACTGTTGCACTCAGTAGTCTTCCCATGGTCAAGTTGAAATGAGTATTTCCCCGCGCCCGTGACATCTAGCAGTGATCATTGGTCGTGCGTCTTTTCCCGTATATAAAACGTATCGAATCGCGAACCTCACACCGTCTCGTAGTCGCTTCTAGGAGAGCCTGTCGGTCAGGAGTCGCTGAGCTCCTTGGGCTGACCACGACATGAGGTCTTTCATTACTGCACCCTGCTGTCAACTGTCCACGCCGGTTTTGACAATGGATGTAATGCGACCAGCAAGTGCGCTGCCTCACGGATCAATCGCCGCTGCATGCGAGGAGATGCTCGTGACCATGGAAGTGGCTGGAAGATGTGCACACATGTGCAGCATATCAGGTTGTTCTACCTTTCCAATTGTGTGATCTAAAATCTGTCGAGCTACTTCAGCTCAACAGAATGAGCCACTCGACTCATTGACAAGGGTAGTGATTGCGAATACTATCCGGCTAATGTTGCGGAGATTGCAGCACAGCTTTGCCCATTATCCAAAGCTGCGTCGCACCGGAATACTCAATGGGGACGACTCGGGTCGGCGGTTTGTTGTGAAGAGTCTTGTGCTTCTTCCTCCAACCTATGAACCAAGGTGTACATGCGCACCAATGATACCACGGGGAGGAAAATTTAAAGAGGAGAGCGCGACTACGGCAGGGACATTGAGGGTAACCTTTCATTCTGGGTATGATTGTAGAGACCATGTTTGTTGTCAAACAAACATGACACGGATATTGAAGGCATGCTCAGAAATAAATACAGAAGTCGGCACTTCCAGCGAGTTGAAGATAACAACGACAAGTTACCAGGTCCTTGACCGCTTCAAGCTGAACCTGTGACAGCGTTACCACACAAAACGTGAAGGCAGTGTAGTGACCAACTCTTTCGTACCGTGCTGTATGGGACATGCCGAACAAAGTGTTGACGGAGCACGCGAGCCATGTCGTCTTCGAAGAGGCAAAAGAGCTGTAAATACAATACAGCAAGTGCGAAGGCCACGAGCGCATAGACACAACAACTGTCGTCAAGAATCGAAACACACCGTCTCGTTTTATTCAGGTATCCTCGTTGAGCGTGAACTTTTGGGGCGTTTCTAAACACACAGTCTAGCCGTGCAATAAAGACACCTAAAAATAAAGTCCTTTCCAACCACTTTACATCCGACACTAATGCCTCCACGTGGAGCCTTCCTGCTCTTCGAGGGCTTGGATCATTGTGGCAAGACGACGCAGACGAAGCTTCTTCACGAGGCTCTCACCTCCTCCTCTCCTTCCATCCCTTCCACTGTGTTGCACTTCCCAGACCGCAGCACTGCCATTGGCAAGAGCATCCACTCGTACCTTACGAGCTCTGCTGCAATGGACGACCACGCCATCCACCTGCTTTTTTCTGCAAACCGATGGGAAGCAGCCACTACAATTGAGTCCCTCTTAGTCAGTGGTCAACACGTTATACTTGACCGCTACTCGTTCAGCGGCGTGGCTTTTTCCGCTGCCAAAACTGGCATGTCCCTCGATTGGTGTTGGGCTCCAGAGACTGGCTTGCCTAAGCCGGACGCTGTCATTTTCCTGGACGTACCAGTCGCACAGACGGCAGCTAGAGGTAACTTTGGTCAAGAGCGGTACGAGAAGATGGACTTTCAAGGGAAGGTGCGCCAGAACTTTTACGCTATCATGGAACGCACGACGCCCAAGTGGCACGTCGTGGACGCAACGGGGACGACCGACCAAGTACATCTCAAGGTGTTGGATATTGCCAAAGAGGTGATAGCAAAGTACACGGGGAGTCCATTGAACCACTTTGAGAAGTTGTGAGGGAGTGTATTGAAATCGAAGCACATCGTCTGACACGGAGACTCATTATCATGCAAGAGCTTCTGTGAGAAATAATGCTGATGACACTGTCTTGCGATGATACGCCCAACTACCGTATTTCGATCGAACGACACAAGAGGCTTTGTGAACAAACCGATATCGCAGGGAAAACAACGAGTTTAATCGTCTTTATCGTTGTAGCGCTGTCGCGTTGGAAGAGTGCCACGACTCGCCTTCTCGACCAAGTACATGCGCATCAAAGCAAAGACGGTACACTAAGCGGTGCTTTCGGTGTTGCGGTAGTATTTTGTCTACAGATGCAACTGTCAGTCACACGATGGCATCCCAACTAAGCTGAAGACGTCGCCGCGGATGGCAGTGACTGTGTCTGGACGTGACTCGCTGCTACGCTAGTCACGATTTAGTTATGTCTTGTCGTTATCAGCATGCATGGAGCCGCAAGTCAAAGAACGAGCAAATATTCTCAAACATGTTGCATCTCCACCTTATCGGGATTGGTCTCCTCCCGACCACGATCCTGGACTGCATTTGTAACGGGGTGAATCGTTACATAACAATTTATAAGAAATTGTTAATAGAATATAACTATAAGAGTTGTATTCTCAGAATATTGTCATAAGGACAAATGTTCTGTAGCACTTACGAGTAGTTCCTAATTGGTTGATATAGGCCATTATATCAACCAACGAAGACGCGCCACGACAGACGCACGCAATGAGTGGTGAGCAGATAGTTGATTTACACATTTGTATTTAGACATAGTTAGATGAAGATAAATAGTGATTTATTGCAGACATTAACTATCATAAATACAGTTCTACTTTTTACTTTAACCAAGTACTCGCTTCTTCTTACCGTCTTCCTCTGCACGTACGAGTGTACGTGAAGTTACGAGGCACCGCCTTATTCTGTTATCAGAATAAGTAGCTTGTACTGTCACCAGTACAAGCTGCAGGGTGCCCCGTTACACCTGGTAGCACTTCGTAGTCCGTCCAAGGACCGCGTTCACATCCAACATGAATATGTTGGATGATGAAGATGACCAAAGCTTTCACGCTACGCGTGACGGCTACTCCCATTTGAGCGATGTCGAATGGGATGCGGTTGAACGAATGGGTTCAACCATGGGCACCCATGCTGTTAGCGTCATGATAGAGGCTCTCAATAAAGATGCCCAACATGCTACTATCGCCAAGTTCATTCAAAATGAACTTGACGCTGAACACGACAAAGTAGCCTTGCTTCACCAACAAGGTTCTCAACAAGCAGAGCTGTTGAGAGAACAGGGTGTTCAACAGTTTGAACTGTTGAGACAGCAGCAGGCTGCTGGTGGTGGGTCGATGCACTCGCGTCGACCCGAAACCTTGAAGATTGACATCTCCAAGTGTAGGGGAGTTGAAGAGGACTCCCTCCTGAGATGAATCGTCGGATTAGACGACGCTATAAGGGCGCGTCGCATCGACGACGGGGATATGCAAGTTGCATTTGCCCAATCAAATCTGGCAGGACGTGCCAAGACTTGGGCTTTGGAACTCAAGTTGCACGACCCATATGCGTTGGGTCGTTAGAAGTCTTCAAGTCGCGGCTCAGACAAGCGTTTGAACCGCCTAGAGCTGAGTTCAGAGCTCGAACTGAACTCTTGAAGCTCAAGCAGGGTAAGCGTGATGTGCACGCTTACGCTCAACATATACGACATCTCACAAGTTGTATAAGTTCCAATCCGGTGGATGAACACACGTTGGTTTCGGTGTTCATGCAGGGTCTTGCGGATGGTCCCGTCAAGACTCACCTGTTCCGGCTTGAACTAGATTCACTAGAACAAGCCATTTCCATTGCGGAACAGGAAGACTTCAGTCTGAGACAGGCTCGCGCCAGCTCGACATCATATCGTCCACCGAGACGATATGACAACGGAGGTCCAGAGCCGATGTAACTCTGTTATGTAGAGAGCGAGAAGGCTCGCTCTACAGACTAAAAGAAGTTGCAGAAATGCAACAGATGTCAAAAGACAGGACACTACGCTTACGAGTGTAGTGCCCCTCGTCCAGTGTCTCGCAACACTGGGCGTAGTGACCGTCCACCCATGAGAAAGGGGCAGGGACGCGGGTCCGCTGTTGGTGCAAAGACGCAACAACGGGATGGACCGTCAAAAAACGGACAGGATCAGTAGGTGCGGAGCACCCTACTGGTCCAGCAACGTCAAGAGAATTTGTAGACCTCTTGATGAAGGTTGCTTCCAACAGACAAAAATTGTGTGTTGCTGCTCTAGGTAATGAGATCTCACTCATTACCTTGAACTCGAGGTGACGAATAAGTTGTCCCTTCGAGCTCTAGTCGATTGTGGAGCGTCCAACAATTTTGTGCGACGCCAATCGCTAGAAGATGGTCATTTTAAGTTCAGTGAATGTGACACACCTCCTACGAGGATGACGGTACGTCTTGCGACAGGCGCATCCGTAACCGTCATGAAGCGTATAGTGAAGATCCACTATACGCTAGAAGATACCCAATATGACGATGACTTTATCGTATTGGATTTGGATGACAAATTTGATGTCATCCTTGGAATACCGTGGCTCAGAAGGTACGAACCACGGGTAAACTGGCAACATCGAACAGTAACGATACCTGCCGCTTGTTCATCAGATGGCCATCTGATGAACGTTTTGGAGCGTCCACAAGCGTGTGGATGTACTACGAGTGAGTGCGATGGCCCCACTTGTGGTACGGTCGTTAGTACGACTGCACAAAACCTTAGTGTACCAAACGGTTACACTTCGGAGCAAAGTTCCGGCTGCTGTGAGGAAACACAGGCTGCGCCGAAGGTCCACCACTCGAATAAGTCGGGTGGACTGGGACAAAGATGTATCCCTAGCGGGGAACATCTAGAAGAGAAACAATCGATCGCTCAGGTTAAGCGAAACGATAATCCTAGATCGACTGGAGAGTCTTTCGTAGAGGATATCGCTGTGGTTGCGCAACCCCAGCTAGAGGAAGTAAAGGGAATAAGTCCCAAGATTACAAATACGGCGGAAATAAGTTCCCCGAAACCCGCGGGAATAAGTCCCCGGGAAGACGAAGGAATAAGTCCTTCGAAGCCTGAGGGAATAAGTCCCCAGGAAATGACAGAGACATTAAATGTCATAGTCAATAACGGAGCAAGTGTAGGCGCTTATACACTTGATCTGATTGCGCCTCCGAAGTTGACTTCGGAGATCACTCAGTTGCCAACGCTCGAACATAAAAGGTTCTTGCGTGATCTGCGTAGTGGCAAAGTCAAGCAGATCTGCATACTCGTCGCTGACGACGAGTGTGTAACCGACATAAGGTCAGCAACAGTGTTCACTGAGAACGAGAGAGTTCTCAGTAGTTCATCTATGGACGAGAGTGTCCTAGATGAAAAGACACGAATTGAGCGATATGACTCCCGATCATGGGAATCGCTCAAGAAAAATCCTCTCTATGAAGATTTGGTTGAATTCAAGGATGCATTCCTTGAAACTGTTCCGTGCGAGTTACCGAAGGATAAAGGTATTCGACACGAGGTCGAGCTTAAACCAGGCTTGAAGTACTGTGTCATCAAGCAGTGGCCACTGCCTCGTGAACAAGTACTTGCGATCGACAAGTTCTTTGCCGATCGTTTAGCAGCGGGCCATGTGAGGGAATCAACTTCCACACATAGCTCTCCGACCTTCTGTGTGCGAAAAGCGACAGGAGGGTGGCGGATAGTGCATGCATTCAACAAGTTGAATGCTGCAACGGTACCGGCTAAGACGCCGATACCAAGGAAGGACGTAATCATTGATGGTTGTAAAGTACCTCTTTTCGTTCATGGATTTGATGAATGGCTTCTATCAAATCCTTATGCGGGAACGAGATATACCCTATAAAGCAGTGAGCACGCCTAGCGTCATGCTCTAGGAATGGCTAGTAATTCCACAAGGGCTCAGTAATGCCCCTGCCACGTTTAGAAGATGTGTATCACATCTGTTGAGACCAGTACGAGAATTCGCACCGAGTTATTCCGATCACGTCTTCAATCGTAGTCGGGCTATGGATGGAAAGTCGGACGTTGAGGTTCACAGATACCACGTCCGACAGGTTCTTACAATCATGCGAAAGCATCAATTGTATGCAAACCTCAAGAAGTGTATATTTGCCGCAAGCGAAATACCACTTCTTGGGTGCATCGTTGGTAAGAACGGTGTACGTCCTGATTCCGAAAAGATCAAGGCGATCACCGACTGGCCTGTGCCGGTTGATGTCAAAGGTCTTCGAAAATTCCTTGGGCTAGCGGCGTATTTGCATAAGTATTCACGCAATTACGCCGAGATGACTGTGCACCTCTCTCGTTTGTTGAAAAAGAACGAGAGATGGTTATGGAACGCTGAATTTCAGCGCTCCTTTGAGTGTATCAAGCTCTGCTTGATACAATCCCCAGTCCTAGCAATAGCCGATCAGGACAGACCATTTCATGTGGTCTGTGATGCCAGCGATTTCGCAATCGGCTGTGCATTAATGCAGTACGACCTAGAAGGCGTTGAACGCGTCGTCTGCTATCAGTCGCGTCAACTGCAACCAGCTGAGCGGAACTATCCAGTGCATGACAAGGAACTCCTTGCCATCAAGTATGCACTCGCGAAGTTCAGAGTCTATCTATTAGGAGATAGACCCTTCATTGTTTACACTGACCATGCAATATTACGCACGGCAGTGAACAGCCCGCACCTTTCACAACGAATGGCGCGGTGGTTTTCATTCTTTGCAGAATACAACTTTACGGTCGAGTACAAATCAGGACGGCTCAATGTCGTCGCTGATGCACTCTCATGTCGTCCCGACTTTGAAACAGTCGCGAAACCCAACAGTGAGACAGTCACTGTTGCGGTTATGACGTCCTCAGTCCCATCTACAACGTTGTATGATGATGTGAGGCGGGCATACGCCCAAGATGGTGAGATTGTGAAGTTGTTGACACA